ATTTACCATGAGGACATGCAATTATTGGTATAGCACCTATTATACAATATAATACAAAGGAATAGGACTTTCCAATGGTACAGTTTCTTCAGAAAAAGCAGGTATATCCTACCTATTGCATTCATCTGTAGTGCTTGAAACCTGAATGAAATTAAGGTTCCACACTGTGCTACATTACATATGGGAAACAATATACATATTCATAGTAAGAAAAGAAAACATAGTCTGACAAAGCAAGTGAAATTCAGTGCAGCTCCAGGGCAGCTTTAATGCAGCATTAGAATGTGTTAGCTCAGAGACAAAATATTCCCTTTTTAATCCAAAGGTATTCATTTGGCAGAGGTTAAATAAAAAAGCACAGATGCTGGCTGGAGAGGCATGTGGCTACAGCAAGCAGATCAGTAACTGACAAGTCTCCTATGCATCCAACGTCCCCACAACAGGAATAATTAGGGAGACTGGCTGCATCTTTCTCAGGCCTGCATTCTTATGTGTTACTATTCTGACCCACTATTCTTTTCTGAATATAGCAAAAGGTGCTGTACCGTTATGTTCCCTGCAGAGATCCCGTAGAGCACAAGAGATTGTTAAGTAACTACCAAAGTTGGAGGAATTGGACACCATGGACTTTACTGACAGACAACGCAGCTTGGCTATCAAAAAACCATTTGGGCAAAAGAATGACAAGAATCCAACATTAAAAATATCTCAGATTGCTTTCTGTGTATTTTGCTTTGATGACTAAGATTCTTACCCAGATTTTGTAAGGCTGTTAAGTGTATTTCTGTCACCTATAACCTACCAAGTTCACGAAGTAGGCAATCTCCTCATCCCTGTTTCATCTTTCATGTTTTCGTAAAACAAATGACCAAAAAAGCAAATCTTGGTTGGTAATCATCTCTGCACGGTAAGATCAGTGGTTTAAGTGATCCACAACTAATGGAAACCAAACACCAGCAACAACAAGGGTTCTTTTTGCAGTTGAGTTAAGGGAAAAAAGGTACTTCCATTTTCTAACTTATTTTCTAACATACATTGCAATTTATTGTGAATCTGCAACATTTAGTGAAGCACAGACATCTCCTCCTTTCTTTCATTTCCTAGACAGGAATGCTTTTCCAAATTCTACTGAATGCTGTTTGAAGAACCCCATTATGACTCCCAAATAAGTGTATGACATAGAACTGAGAATTAGCTTCTTGGATCCTAACTAGTACTAAACAAATTTCTAAAGAATATAGCTATAAAAACATCTTGGCAAATATTAATACTAATTTTTAAAATGTCATCAGTGTCAAGAAGGGGCAAGGCATATGGTATTTCCTTAGGTAAAAAATCTGTGCCATGGTAGATAGGGGACAAGATGAGCACTGAGTGACTCAAGAGATGTGTGCAGCTCAAAATAGAAGAGACTTATAAGGTAGAAATACCATCATCTTCTAAATTGTGTGCTTTTTTAAAACTGCAAAGGCATGCTTGAGCAGTACTTATCTCCCAAGTGGTGACGTCATTTGGGAATAACCGTTTCGGGTTTTCTTACACACTCCTTGAGTATGTAAGGCCTTAAATAATTAGGCCAAATCTTCTAGCTAGGCAAACTAAAAAGACAGAAATAAATACCCTTTTAAAACGCTTACCTTAGAGATATTTTTTAGTCTAAATCCATTGTACCTCTTTGACTACCTAGTCATTATTATCCTGGCTTCTACTTCCCCTCTCGCAGATCTGCTTGCTGCCTGCTCTTAGGCAATGCCTGGCCACTTATTTACACAGTATGCTTTCTCATGAATAGTTTATGATGCTTACTTTCTTTAAAAAGCGCAGATTCAACACCATTTTTTTTTAATATACATTTTTTTGATTATTTTTTTAAATACACAGTACACAGACACAACATGCATCAGACTTAGGAGGAGGCTTTATACCTGTCAAGGCCCAGTTCCTATCTGCTAAGCTTAGTGGCTGATTTGCTCTTTCCTGTGGGAGTCTTAGTGTTTGGGGAATGGTGGAAGGAACTGCCAGATCCTTTCAGACCATTCTTGCTTGGTTTGTTGCAGCAGTGCTCTTGCTGGCAGGATCTCCTAGAAGATGAGGAGCCTGAATGGCTAGGAGGTGATTTACTCCTGCCAAGATGGGGGGATGAACTCCTCTGATCATGATGGGGTCTCCCAGCCCGGGACGGAGAAGAACTGGCAGTACGGGGTAAAGAAGAGCTCCTAGGGGAGGCACTGGGACTGCGTCGGGGGATGACAGGGCTTTTGGGTGGTGTTTTTGGACTATGTGGAGATCCTGGACTCTTACACTGGGTAGAACTCCTTGGTCTTTGAGATCCATTCTGTAGGATTTGAGCCAGACGAGAGATAAGATCTGAGTCCGAGCTGCTACTCCCTAGGACTCTGTATCTGCGTAACCTTAAGAAGAAATGAAGAAAGATTATTTCTGTTCCCATCTATTCACTAAATTTCATATAGAAACACAGTATCCCTGGAAACTAGGGATGAGCTTACATTGTAGAACAGACATCTGGAGCTGAACTTTCCTATAAGGTAGAGGTGTTTGGATCTAGGCTTTGGCTTCTGTGTTGTTCAAATCAACACAGTATTTATATTTGCATAAACTCATATAAATGGTCTGTTTACAGGATAACTGAAATTTCTTGGTGCTGAAGAACAGTGCTTATTGCCTCTGTTTTGGAGGGGTACATCCATTCCTGCACACCATCAATACACTCCGATACACAATTTTAAGGGATGACAAGGCCCACCACAACTTCCTTCAGAGGATTTCACACTTCCGTATCAAAATTCTCCTTATCCTGGTAATGTAGGCACTGAAGAAACTAGATCATGGCTGTCTGTATATAGAACTGGCAAAGGGGGGCATCTAGAATTCACTCTGCCCTCCTTTAATTAGTTGTTTTTACTTAACCATGATCTGAGCATAGCTAACTAGCTCAATACTGATGGCTGGAATCTCCAAGCCTGAATACTTAAAATGTCTACAATAAGAACAGTTTAATTTTCAAAGGGGCTGGATATAACAGATCCTATTGATTTCTCTGGGTTTGTGAATAATCAACAATTCCAGAAAAGTGACCCCCACTTTAAAAAAAAAGGTGTAAATATTTAGTTATAGATTGACAGGTTTGAAAATATTGAATACACATCTATTGATGTATAAGGTTTAACAGTGAAGCAGGCTCATTCTTGTGTAACAGCCTCTCCTCATCCATTTTCCAACAATGTAAGATTTCTCAGAGAACAGAAGCCCAGCATTTTTAAAAAATTAGTTGAAGGATGCAACTTCTACAGGATTACATACTGCATAGTAACTGCTGCCTAGCTCAAATCCATTTTCAACCTGAAAACCTATTTCTATTTTCTCTGTATTACCTAGCTTCTACCCCAGGTCTAGTAGGCGGTTTTCCTGGTGGTGGCCGAGGAAAGAACTGAGCTGAACTTGAACTGGTGACTTGATCAGTGGTTGCCCAGGACACTGGCCTTGGAATCTTGCTTTTTCGGGACTGAGGGCTGCTTGGAGATAAAGAGCTATCTTCCGTCTGCTTGCTGAAATGAGAGTCCAGTGTCAATCTAGAAAATGAGGATAAGACATCATCCTCAGAAAACGGTACTGGAGTAGCAGCCATTTTTTCCTCCAGTGACTTATCAGAGGCACTTGAGAGGTCACCAAGGAAAGATTTGAGCTGTCTCTTTTCCATAAGTAGCCTGACCAAGTCTGTCTGATGGGCCTTTTTTAGAAGAAGCTTTTCCTTTGCTGAAACAGGAGAAGACGACTCTGATGTTGAGTCTATCTCTTGTGCTAAAACTGGGATTCGGCTCTGCCTGAATACAAAAGGAGGTTTAACTAAGTCCTTCTTAGATCGATGAGAATTCTCATTTTCTGAAATGCAGTGGAATAACTCTCCATTTCTGGGGGCATTTTTCTCTTTTTTGTCCTCCTGGTGCAAAAAAGTAGTAAGGGCCACTTGGTGGCATTTCAAGTCTTGGATATGGACTTCTTCCTTACTAGAATGAAAACCATTTTCCTGAACTGGTGCTATTTTGCTTGCCTGTCTATTAACATGTGGTTTGGTAAGTCTTGAGGGAGAAAATTCGGATGTTTTAGGTGCTATCGACTTCAGAACCTCATCTTGATTTGGCACCAAACAGACAGGCCTTGGCTTTGATTCTTCAGCAGCTTCAGTTTTCATTAGAGGTTCTTCCTCTGCAGATTTTGAGTTTCCTGGCAAGGAATTCTGTTCTTTGCTTAGCATTTCAATGGCATCCTCAGAAACCACTGGAAGCCTTTCTTTCTCAGCCTCCTCTACAGGAATATTATCAAGTTCTTTCTCTTCCTGTATCCCACTATGTTGTTCAGGTAGGTCCTTTTGGCCACAGTCCAGGACGGTGACACATTCTTTGACAAGTCCTTCCTTGTCAAGTACCCCTTGGCTGATATTAAGTACCAAATCTGGTCTGCTGGCACTAGCTGGAAGTACATCTTCTTTCACAACCAAACCTGGCAAGCTTTCCTTTGGAGAGGAAAGTTCCACAGTGTGTTCCATAGACGGAGCATCCTGCTCTCTTTTCTCTAGCTGGTGGCCATAATGAAAGCTCTCCGAAGCAGACTGTGTGGATGCCACTGAAGGTCTGGGTATTGTTATCTGCATTGGAAAATTAGAGAAGGAAGAGGTGAGAAACTCAGGAATGTTATACAGATAACATTCTTTAAATACCATTTTTGATTCCATGTCTTCAAGATACATTATATAATAATTCCTATGAATCACAATGTTCAAATAATACCTAACTTCATCATTTACATCTAGATAATTAGAAAAAAACTTACTCTATCATCCCAAGACAGAAATGTGTAACAGGTAAAAACAAACATAATCTCAGTGGAAAATGTTGCAGTTACCACGTAACCCTCCTAGAAATGAGATCCAGCCTAACAGGTAGGCTTTTAATTTATTTTACATTAGTTTGAATACTCTTAGAATAGTTATATATAAACATAAAATCTTGTTAACAAGTACACAACATTATTTTTAGACAAGTACAGAAGACAAAGAACACAGTGAGGTCCAGGATCAGGAATGGACTTAAATTTCAATTTAGGCAGAATTTAGATACTTTGTTAACAAAACAATAAATAAAAACTTTATTTACCTAATTAAATACATCGATACCCACAATACGTACATTTTTGTCCGGAAAGACTTTCCTGAGTACCCAAATTTTAGCTATTACCTTCCCTGTAGAAGCATATGCCTCATTTTAACTAAGCAACCCGGTTAGGACATCTCCTTACCTAAGGTCATTAAGAGATTCACAAACTAAATATTCACACATCTAAATCCCCTAACGGATCTAATCCAATAGGTATGCTAAAACCTATATATAGTATTGAGTCAGAGTCCCTTTGAAAAATGGTTGACTGTGATGAGTGCTGCCTCTAGTACATAGCTTAATTGTTAGAGCACATGTCCAGGAGATGGATAACCTGCATTCATGCCTCTCCCAATCTGAGGGACATAATCCCACTTCCCCCAGTTCCCATCAAGTATGCGCAAAACCAGAATGGAGTTGCTTCTCACCTTTCCCACCAAAGTCAGGCCCCTGCACAGACAGAAATGCAAGAGTCATGAGGTCAGAGGGTGAGAGAGCACACACAAAAGTGAGAGGAGTTTTACCTCTATGGCCAAGGGAGGAATGCACTCTCATGTGGAATCCTGGATTCTGCTTTATACATATTGGATTGAGTCATTTGGTAAAATGTATAAACTGTAAAAAAATCAAGGGCTACCCTTCCATCTTCCTCTACATGGACAGAGAGTTCAGCTCCTTTTTTCCTGGTATTCTTTAGCCTCATGAATCTGACACAGTTTGAGTTTGTAATACTCAGCAGAAAGTGGAAGACTGGAGTCTGGGTTTGGACATAAAGACTTTCTTGATGCACTGATGGTAGAAGAGACAACTAGTGGTAGCCTATTTCCAGTGTTGCCAGGATTCTGCTATGTTACAAGACAGATTTCACTTGACCTTGCTGCAGAAATTATACACGCTGCTGAGCTTAACAGGCTTTTGCAAGAGCTCATGTATTGGTACTATTGGGTGGTAGAAACCAAGCTCATCTGTCAGGACCCATAACAATTTATACTGCGTACCCAAACTTTACAAATAGAGACTAACTCTCCAAAACAAGAAATGGGAACTGACAGTGAAGGAGATATACCCAGATTTCCCATGAGAGTATAACAGCTTCATTGAAAGTCTTGCTGATTTCTTTTTTTTTTTTTCATTTTCTTCATAGTACTGTATAACAAAATTTCCATCATTATGGGTGCACATTTACCTCCATGAAACACAAACATTCAACTGATATTATAAACAGTTCACTAGAACAAAACATGAAACACAAATCACAGACATAAAGCTGAATTAAAGAGAGGACAATTATTTATGTTAAAGAAATTATTTCTATACTGTAAAATGTATTCTGAACCTCTGCAATTTACCTAATGCAGTTTTTGGACCCTAACCTAAAAATGTGGAATTATATTTTTTGAGAAATTTGGAATAAAATTCGGAGAAAAGATTTTCTTAGTTTTACAAGTAGGATTAGCTGTTAGGCTACAGAAAGTGGTATTTTTCACCGGGGAGGACAGGGGGAAGAGCAGAAATGTAAGATAATTGAACTCTTTGTTTTCCCAAGTAGATCTAAGCTGTCTGTAGCATCTTCCCCAAGTTGAGATTTATGGAACTAGGGATTCCCCCTGCCCCCCCCCGCCCTAAACCAAAACATAAAAACCACTGAGACCTGCAGCAAGAAGCTACTTTTTGTCTCCCTGATAATTTGTTTTCAAGTTTGGGCCAATACAGTCCCTTCATGTTTGCTGAATTAAAATGGTTCATTGAGAAACAAACTGAAGTTACTTATTTTCAGCAAAACAGTCCTCCTCATCTCCTCTTACTCTCAGTCTGGGTTCTTTCCTCCGAAAGAAACACTACTTCCCTTTTGAGCTAGAGATGTCTTACTTCAAACACTTTCTTGTGAGAGAATCCAAGCACATCAGTTCAGCTACAGAAAGAACAGAGGAAGTAGAAGTTTTTTTAAAAAGCACCTTTCCATGATTAGGTCAATTAGTGCCTAAATCTTGAGTGTTAAACAGAAATAGTTTAGCAAGAACTCTGCACAGAGAGGAAATGGGATAAAACTGGAGAAAAAAATAAGAAAAAAGGTCTAGGAAACAGGGCAGCTATTCCATAGGTTTCCATACATCTCTAGGAAGTTGCTCTGAGGTGACACATCTCTAAGTATCATACATTGAAGGACTTGCTTTCATATGACAGAGGAATGTACTTTGGCCTGTCACACACAAATCATCAGATCTCTTAGAAATTCTCAACTACAATCTGGGTAAAAGTGGGTTCAGGAAATTTTAATGTAATATTGTCCTTGGAATAGCAGGTTCAGATTTTGGAGAAATCACTCAGGCATTTGCTGTCCACTCAGCTCTGTCTCTGTCTTGTTTCAATACCTTGTTCTCCAGGGCCGCAGACAGAGTCTCCAAAGTAAGGAAATCTGGTAAAATATTTCTTTTTCCAAACTTTTCACTTGATGAGCTAGTCTGGTTGCCAATTCAAATAACCGAGGAATCAAAAAAACAGAGTTGTCTTCCACACATCTGAAAAAGCATGGCTTCCCTTAGAAAAGAATGGTTCTGGTGTCCTTTCAGTTTTCAGAGGTAAGACAACCTTAGTTATTTGCTTTTAGGACGATATTTATCTTCTTGGTACATTTACAGAAGGGCTGCAATTGCATTTAAATCCTCCTTTGCTCAAATACATTTACATGGAAACTCTCCTTTCCTTGTGTCCTCTCTCTCATATGTCAATTCTTTGTTAGGTGAAAACAGCTCTGATCTGAAATCTATTTACATTTTTCAACAGACTTCATATCCTTTGCCACATCTGGAGAGAGAATTTCCTAGTCTTTCAGGGCTATCTTGGCCAACCTAGACTTAACCCTTACACCCAAGAAATAGAAGACTAAGTTTGTTGAACAACCTACAATAGAACAGGCAGGAGCTCTTTGTGAAAGAAAAACATTGAACAAGTGGAGGAAAGAAAAGGATATTGGATGACTAAGTATCATCAAAGACTCAGTACTCCTGAATAGTTCACAGTTTCAGAAATGGCTTTTTGAACACATATCACTTTCTTGATTTGTGTTTACTAACAAACAAAAATTTGTTTTCGCAGATGGTCAATAAACCTCTCATTAGTCTTCTCAAAGCACAAGAATTAAATTATATCCCCATTGGGCTTGACACCTATATATGCAAGAAATTTAAATGGGTAATCATGTAGAAGTGCCTTTCATGCAAGGGTGCTACAACTTCAGGTGCAGCTTTGAGAGACACACAAAAGAGCAAGGCCAATTTTTAAAAAATCTGGGAATGTGTATGAGAAAACAGAACTTGTAAAGAACTTAACCCTGTTAAATCATAAAATGGTTTGGATTGGAAGATTAAAGATCATCTAGTTCCAACCCCCCTGCCATGGGCAGGGATACAAATACTTTCATTTGGAAGAACTTGGATGTAATAGTCAATTACTGAAGAAATGGAGGAAGCTTGTAGATGATCCTCCTAAGGCTCCTTATAGGATTTCTTTGGATAAAGCATCAGCTTCTTTACAAGGCTGGCCACTACAGATAACTCCATGATTCACACTATGCACAATTCTAAATAAAAAGACTGGAGGAAGTTTTGAATCCCTTAAAACAATTTAAAAATGTATATATAATCCTGTAGCCTTAATTATCCCATAAGTAGTCTTCTCGCTCTCGTTTGTGAAACCTTGCAAGACAGAAGTCATAATCAAGGAGTCTGAGGAGGGCTGACCCTGAGACATGCAAAATACACCAATTTAAATTATCATTTAGTCTAATTCAGGGAGACAGAAATCTCAAGGTGGTTCAATACATATCTAGTTACAAAACAAATAACACATGGCTTAATATGTAAAATTAAAAAATGCCACCATAACCATAAATAATCCTCATACTTTCTTTTCTTCTGCCACTAATTAAAATCTTATCCTATGAGATTTCTATGGCTAATCATGTCAATTTTGTAAAACACTGAACCTGAGGAACAAAGATTACAATGTGATGTGGGCAATTCATCTAACAAGAAAAATGTGGGGAAGATAATTTAAAATGCTGCCTCTCAGCTCACTATGATAATCAGTTTATAACTGATATAACAATTATTGCAATTCCCATACTTCAACAGAAGTTATGCGATACAGCGGATTACTGAAAATGGCTGAGACAATATATAGAACAATGAATTTGAGGTTCTCCTTTCACTCCAAAATATTCGAATGAAATTATTGCCACCACAGTCTTGAATTGTTTGTCCTTCCCTAAATAATTTCTTAATTACTTTCTGATTTCTCAAATTAGCACTTGACCAAGACAAGAAATTAGACTGCATTTTCTTCAAGAAACTTTACAAGATGGAGAATGGGATGTTAAGAAGGAAAAAGAACAAAACAACATCAACAACATAAATATCTCTTGGACATCCTTTATGACATCTGACAAACTTTCCTCCCTTTAAACCTTTGACAGGCTGCAATAGCAAGTGAT